GCATCCTGAGGAGACAACCAATGTCTGGAACGCTTGGGAGTTTCGTACAGAACCCACTTTTCATCACTGGTAAGCACTCGATTGAATAAGGATGTGGTACGGTGGCGAGAAAGCAGTGGTATGCAGGCTGCCACTCGTTGTCCCTTGTGGACCTCCAACAGCGTTTGCGAAACCCACTTGCTCAGTTTGTACGTCTTACCTAGCCGGTGCAGGTGAAGTCTGTTTCATCGGAAACGTTGAACTGTCTTGCAAGTTCACCACACGTTAGACTACTGTTCTCTTCAATGGCTGCCTTCAGGACTCCGTCATTCAAGACCTGTGGTCGCCCACTGCGAGGCTCATCATAGAGGGACAAATCTCCCGACATGAATTTTCGAAACCAACGCCTTGCAGTACGTTCATCCACAGCACTATCCCCAAACGCTTGACATATGCGGCGACTTGATGCAGCTGCTGATAAGCCCACTTTGAAGTCGTAAAGCAAACAGCACCGAACGAGATCGCTAGACACTTCCATCCTTCTCACAGCTGTCCGGCTTATAACTTGATGGCCGGGAACGGTGCGCGTGTTTTTTTTATAACGTCTGATTTTTCTACTTCCGGCCGTCCGAATTTGAAAACAATTGCTACACGCATTTCGTATATATTTCAACTTCATTCAATGACTAATCAAAAACCGGACGGAACTTTTTTGTTTACCTTGTTTATAGTGTATTGGAACATCAGATTATTATTTAAACATATATTATTAAATATAACAGAAAATGAATGTCTATTATGTCTGATCACGAGCCGTTCTAGTGTTCGGATGTTTACATTAAATTCTGGTAAAAATAAAGTCAAAAATTGTCCAACTTTTGGATATTTTTTATTAAGTCGGTCCGAACAATTTTGTCTTTATTCTCACCCAAAATTAAAGCAAACATACGAACATTAAAACGGCTCATGATCAAACATAATAGACATTCATTTTCTGTTATATTTAATACTATATGTTTAAATATGATCTGCTGCCCCTAATACACCTTTATATTATATATATATATATATATATATATATATATATATATATATATATATATATATATATATATATGCGCGCGTGTGTGTGTATTTGGGCAGTATTGTTTTTTTTTTACCAAGAAGAAGAAAAAGCAAGAGAAGAAGAATAAGCAACAGAAAAGAAGAAAAAGAATAAGCAATCGAAGAAGTAGAAGAAGCAAGCGAAAAGAAGACGAAAAAAGAAGAAAAAGAAGAACCATGCAGTAAAGAAGAAGAAGAAGGAGAAGAAGATGAAGAAGGCGGAAAAGAAGAAGCAGGCAGAACAGAAGAAGAAGCATGCGGAAAAGAAGAAGAAGAAGAAGAAGAAGAAGAAGGAGAAGAAGATGAAGAAGGCGGAAAAGAAGAAGCAGGCAGAACAGAAGAAGAAGCATGCGGAAAAGAAGAAGAAGAAGAAGAGGAAGATGATGAAGAAGAAGATGAAGAAGAAGAAGAAAAAGAAGAAGCAGGCAGAACAGAAGAAGAAGCATGCGGAAAAGAAGAAGAAGAAGATGATGATGAAGAAGAAGAAGTAGAAAAAGAAGAAGAAGATGAAGACGAAGAAGAAAAAGATGAAAAAGAAGAAGCAAGCAGAACAGAAGAAGAAGCATGCGGAAAAGAAGAAAAAGAAGAAGAAGATGAAGAAGAAGAAAAAGAAGGCGAAAAAGAAGAAGCAGGCAGAACAGAAGAGGAAGCATGCGGAAAAGAAGAAGATGATGATGAAGAAGAAGAAAAAAGAAGACGAAAAAGAAGAAGCAGGCAAAACAGAAGAAGAAGAAGTATGCAGAAAAGAAGAAGAAGAAGAAGAAGAAGAAGAAGAAGAAAGGGTGAATCCAGAATAAGAGATTTTAAGGAAAATTATGTCGCATCAATCTGCTACATGGAAACAAACCTGTGAACTATTTGTCATTTAAATTCGTTTACCGGCAGAAGCAAAACTCATTGCTGACGTCGGGCTGAATCTCTAAAACGGATTTCTCGACAAAAACGCACCACGCAATCACTGACGAAAGGGCGGGGGGAGAAAGGAAAAAATATTTAATATTCTTTGCAATTTAAATGCATTTTTCTTTCACATTAATACAATTCCCCTTTTTCTCGTTCCTTTTGATTACTGAGTTTTTCGTTTTATTTTTTTTTCTTTTGAACCAATTTACGTTATTTTCCCGAATATTTCACATGTTCGTTGTCTATTTTTCTGCGTTAAAAGTGACTCGATAATCCGAAAATTAGCATTTGTCAAACGTCAAAGGATTCCACACGCGCACGCACACACACACACACACACACACACACACACACACACACACACACACACACACACACACACACACACACACACACACACAGATACATGCATACACATACACACAGAGGTACATACATAGAGAGGGGAAACACACATATATAGACACGCAAGCACACACACACACACACACGCAGAAACATAGACACACACAAACACGCAGAGAAACACACACACACTCACATTCACGCGTGCACAGACACGTACTAAAACAAAAACTAATAAGCACACACACACACACACACACACACACACATGGAGATACACAGATAAGTAGACATGCTGACACACAGAAAAACCTTCATATCCAGATTCACATATGTAAATGCATACACACAAATACGAGAGAAAATAAAAAATTATCCGCACTTTTGTCATAACATATCTTTGTGTTTGCTACACTGCCTTCTGCGCATGCGTGCTTATAGTTGGCACTATTGTCGTCACCTGATCAAAGTTTTGAGCCTAATCACGCCACTTTCTTGCTGCTGTTACAGTGAGAACAGGGCCGCTTCCCTAGCAGTGTGCACCAAGGAGGAACAAAGTGCAGCGATACGATTTCTTTGGTAGCAGGATGAGCCAGGAGCTGAAATTCATCGGCGTCTTTTAACATAATACGTACTGCGAACGCAGCGGCTATGTTTTCACTGAGTCGTGAGTTCGATTCTTACTGGGTGGCCCATACTTTCGGCGTTGTGTCACATCTAAGTTACGCTTAGAAAATCACCATATTAGAAATGACAAAAGAGAAAAGAGTGACAGAGAGATAGAAAGAAAGCGATCGAAAGAAGGAAAGAAAGATAGATAAGGAGAGAGAGTGAGCGAGCGAGAGAGAGAGAATGAGAAAGAATGTGTGTGTTTGTGTGTGAGAGAGATACAGTGAGAGAGAGAGAGAATGAGAGAAAGAGAGAGTGAGTGTTTGAGTTCAAGAAACCGACAGGAATGAAGAAAAAATTAATTCAAAATTAAAACCAGAAAATATTTTTATGTCTTCTTTTCAATGAAAGCGACATAAAAAAAAATAATAAAAAATATATGAATATCACTTAATTTGATGACTGTCAAATCTGGGAGTGGGGAGGGCGGGGTCCGCCGAAAACTGAACGACAAGTCTTTCAAGACATTTCTGGGTATTAGTCTTATCTTGAATTTGAAGCATTGTCAACCATTATGTATTTTGACTAGTATTGCTTTCATTTGAATTTCACTTGCTTTTCATTTACGAGTAAAGAGTGTTCCAATAACTTAGACCGATTTTAAATGTGAATTAAGTTTATGTTTTTTTCTTTTTCTTTCAGATTTGCGGACATTTGGGCGATATTATTTTTTACACATAATCGCCATGACTTAAATAACCTGATCCAATTGAGAAATAAATAAACTTTCACAAATAACACTGATTTATTTACTTTTGATTTTGATCCGTCTTAATGAAACACCCGTAATAATGTTTTGATTTTTTAAACAAATAAAGTGACAGTTACACTATTTGCATTGTTCGGACTGTTGAGAGCGAATAATATAAATAGTGTAAATATTTACAATACGTCATCTCATAAGTATAGACAAATCCTGAAGAAGGCCGGAGTGTATATCGATCGAAACAGCGTTGAGAAACAAGTAAGATGAGATCAGCAGTCCGGACCATGTAAATAGTGAAAACAATTAAAATACCTCATCTCAGAAATATAGACAGTTCCCGAAGAAGGCCGGAGCGTACGGCGGCCGAAGCGTCGTGAATATGGCAATTAAGATGAGGACAACAGTCCGAACAATGTAAATAGTGTAAATATTTACAATAACTCATCTCAGAAATAGGAATAGATCCTGAAGAAGGCCGGAGCGTACATCGGCCGAAACATCGTGGATATGACATTTAAGATGTGGACAACAGTCCTGACCATGAAAATAGTGTAAATAATTATAATACCTCATCCCAGAAATATAGAAAGAAGAAGGTGTCAAAAATTCTTCACGTTTCACGACTATTTTCTTCTATCATAATATGGCAGCGATTGCTAGCCATGTTTGACACCGTCTTTGAGAAGAACAACTCTGAATTCAAACTCGTATGTAGACATGGCGAACCATATACTATACAGCCACTGAAAGGTTTACGATGCGTGACTGTCGGTCCTATGCTTTTGCCGAAATCCGAACACACACTGGAATAGCAAAATGTGTTTTCCAGAATGTAAGCAAAGTATTAAGAAACAGGAAAATTTCGTTAGAAACAAACAAACAAAAACATTGTTGAACTTGTATGTAATATCATTCTTTCTATATGGCAGTGGATGCTAAATATTTCTCTCGCATATGAAGAGAGGACGGAACCCAAAAGAGATGTTGTTTTGTAGAAGGAGGTCAAGAATAACATGGACGGTGTATGTCAGTAATTGGGAAGGTTAAGGAAAATGGTGGCAAAAACGAGCGGTTATACTCGGAATCCGAAGGAGACAATAGAAATTTCTTGGACACATAAGAGGGCTTGGAAAAATTTGAAACTCACATGAAATATGGAATACAGAAAGCACTGGGGGCAGAAGGCCGCCTACTTGACCACCTATTTATCTATCTATCGATCTATCTATCTATCTAGCTAGCTAGCTAGCTAGCTAGCTATCAGGGCATTCTCACTCTATCTATTCTTTTCCAGCCAGTCGCTCGCTCGCTCGCTCGCTCGCTCGATCTATCTATCTATCTATCTATCTATCTATCTATCTATCTATCTATCTATCTATCTATCTCAGACAGTTCATATCTATTTATTTGTTCATTATTCATGCTAGTCTGTTTATATCTATCTAGCCATCCTAGTGATCCTATATCGTTCAATCCATCCCTCGCAGTCTCTTCATGTCTATCCATCATTCTAGTGTGTTCATATATATAGATTCATTCTTGTCGGTCTATATCTATCTATCTATCTATCTGGGCCTTCTCTCTCTCACTATTCTTTTTCAGCCAGTTACTCACTGACTCTATCTATCTTTCTCTCTCTCGCTCTCTCTGTATATATATATATATATATATATATAATATTCGCCTATCTATCTATCCTATCTATCTATCTATCTATCTATCTATCTATCTATCTATCTATATATGTTCATTTTCAGCCAGTCACTCCTTCGCTTAATCTATCTATCTATCTATCTATCTATCTATCTATCTATCTGAAATATAGAAAATAAAAGCCACAATAAGAGAAGAATAGATAAATGTAATTAGAATATCAATAACGTTCGAAGATTTATACGACCTAATAAATGAAATAGATGGGAAATGAATATATCATGAATGAAAATGGCGACATAAAACGGAAGTTACTATTAATATACGCTGGTTACATTTAGTGGTTTTCGTTGTTTTTCCTTCTCGCCATCAGGAGGCGCTAACAATGACCTTTCCGTGCAGCACAAGCACTAAGCTTAATCTGTTTTGAAAATAAAAGCGTAAAACAGCGCGGGAAAAAGACAATTACAAAAAGCAGGCAAGAAACATGACAAGGCCATCAACAACGTCAAACGAGGTAGAGAAAAAAACAAAAAGAAATAAAACCAAGATGGAAACCAGCGAGTGATGACACTCCACCTTTTATCAGCCCTACTCGATCAATATTATTCCTGTAAGGTTATTAGGTAAAAAAAAAAAATAGAATTCTACGCTGAAGATGAATTTGCTGACGTTGTGGACGTGATCAAAATGATTTAGTGTCGAATCAAGTGCGATATTCAAAGCTGTAACGTATAAAACAAATAGAAGATGATTAATATTAATGAACGGAATATTGCCCAATAATAAGTCTGATCCGTGTTTGCAAAGTAGTTGAGACTTTTTCCAATGGCGCCATTAGTACGAGTGTCAGCACACATAAAAGCTAATATTTTGAATGAAGATCTAAATAAGAAAAACGTCCTCATCTTTGTCCTCATCATCAGTACGTTTCGACCGTTGTGCCCTTCGACCATCTTCAGGTGTCTATCAATGCTAGGACCTTTCATGGAATCCCAAACTGAACCCTTTCTTTAATCCACACATATAAATTCTGGTCGAAAACACTAAAATTCTATATAAATCACATTACCGGAAACATATAGCTACTAGAGAGGCCCTGCATATTAAACAGCTCCTTCCTATTATCAACATCACCTTATTTGACAGTGGAAATGGAATGTTAAATTTATTTTACAAATAGGAAGACGCTCAGGCGAATAACAGCCGCACTCAAAATGCGAAGCCTCGGAATAAACGCTTTTATTCAAAATAACCCAAGAATAAAATACATCTTAAACATGCAAAACATAAGGCAAAACTAATAACACCAAAAATAAACCCTCTTGAAAATAGCTATAGAAGTGGCCGAAAGCGCTGAGGACAATGAAAATTATGGATGTGTTTTGTACTTACACGTACAAAAGAGAAAAAAGTAAGGATGCCCGAAAAACTAAATCACAAAATGAATTAAAACTTCCTTGTCTGCTATATTTAACGAAAGATGTTTAAAAGTATTTGCTCCCCAAATATACATCAATATATATATATATATATATATATAATGATAATAAAGAAGGAAACTTTAATTATTCATTTCGATTAAAATTTATTTCGTGAACACCGGAATGTTCATCTCTTCAGATCGAAATCTTTTTAGTAAATCTTTATTAAGTAAATTTTAGTACTTCTTAGTAATTGTTACTAAGGAGATTTCGATCTGAAGTGATGAACATTCCGGTGTTCACGAAATAAATTATAATCGAAATGAATAATTAAACTTTCCCTCTTTATTATTATTATTATCATTATAAAGCTCTGTAGTCTACACTGAGCTCTCCTTGGATACATATCCTCCTTGGAATCATCCCTACCAGTTATAACCTGGTAATACATACATACATACATATATATATATATATATATATATATATATATATATATATAATTGTGTATTTGGGCAGCAATCATTCTTTTATGCAAGTTTCATTAAAGGCGACTGACAGGATACTGCGATTAAAAAATCTATTCAGTGTTTCTTATCCTTGTATGTTTTCTTTTCTGGTCATAAAGTGTGTAGAAATTGTCCAGAAGTTCTGTATATCCGAGCACTTTCGGCTATTCTTTTAGCCATTGTCAAGGATGTTTATTTTTATTTTTAA